TTTTGCATTACTGTCTGCATCAAAAATAGCATTTGAGATGAAATTTAATGTGCTTCCAGTTCTTTCTCTCTGTGGTCTGTGGGTATGTGTGCGTGCATGCATTTATACATATATACATACATATGTAAATACAAATGCTTTCGGCATCAATATAAAACATTATGTAGTAGTAAATTTCTTTTGCAAACATGTAGCAACAGTACTAAATGAATAAATTTGAAAATTTTGTAGTAAAATTTTTGTTTTTAGTCTCTCTGCTTCTTTTTTTTTTCTTTCCCTAAACCAGTGTTTCCCAAACTTTTGACATATGTGTACCCCTTCTATAATTTTCGTAATGCTGAGTACCTCTTTAAAAAAATGGATATATTTTAATAACAATCAAAATATATTTATTTATATTTTTTGTGACATACACAAAATAAGAAAAGAGAAATAAAATTATTGGTAAAAATATATTTATGGGTGCCACTTGGCGATTTTTGGCTGTACATACGCTTTGACTTGTTATTTTGGCTTTGTGTAGCGGCGATTTTTGAGGCAAAGTCAGTGTTAAACAAATCCAAAGTAACAATTCAAATAATTGCACAAACTCGGTTTCCATTTACCATTAACCTATTTTCACTTTAAAAAAAAAAAAAAAAAACAGAGAATCGCACAAACTAGGTATTGCACACTCCCTTGACTTTGTCCATGTACACATTGATCTATAGTCACTTAAAAAGTCAAAGGAGCAGCCAACAAAAAGTGTATAATCTCAATAGATTACATTTTAAATCAAACAATGAAATAACATAAAAAATGAAATTCATCTTAGCACTATATATCCATTTACACATTGACATTACTAAAAGAGAGTTAGTAATGAAAGAAGTAGACTCGTTTCCCTCTCTTCACGAGATTATGACAAGTTTGACTACTATGGTGATACTCTGAAATGCATAACACAGCATTTGCAGATTTTGCAAGTGGGCTTGAAAAACTATTTCCCTGATTTAAACAAAAATATTGAATGAATAAGATATCCATTTAACATGAACATAACATCCATGCCAGATGATTTGTCACATGCCGAAGGAAGAAGAGCAATTGTTGAAGTCGCTTCAGACAGATTCTTGAAATATAAACATAAGAAGATTACCTTAACATTATTCTGGTTACAAATGCAATGTGTGTATCTGGTTTTAACAGAAAAAGTTCTGAAATACATCTTACCTTTTCCAACTTCATATTTATGTGAAGTTGCTTTTGCAGCATTTGTAAACATTAAGTCGAAAAAAAGGAATAGACTATTGGACGGGGAACCACATCTCAGATTTAAAAAAAACTACGAGGGAACCAAATTATAATGCTCTGTCATCTCAGCACAAACAATTTTATCCTTCTCATTAATCCAAATAAATGTTATTTATAATATAACTTTTATTTATATTTTACTATGAATAATTAGGTTAAAGTAGATTTAAAGGTGCCCCTTGGATTATCGCTACGTTGTTGTTTAATTTATGGTAACCTGAGCAGTTAAATGCTGTGAAAACCCTATTACGATGTAATTGGTTGCGTGATTGCAGTGAATTTGGAAATGTTGTTTGTGTGTCGGATTTTGGATAAGAAGTATGTTATTATTTTGTGGTTTACATTAACATACACACACAGAGAAAAATGGCTGTATGTTCACACAGAAAAACAGTTTTCTGTTGTTTACACGCAAAAATGGCTGAATCTGGTAAGACTAATTTGAAGTTTCTGTATGATTTGGAACGAAAGGGAAAAAAGCATTAATTGACTGTGTGAATGAAAGGTTTACTTAGTAGCCATCATAAGTGACCTGTTTGTAGGAAGGAAATGTGTACGGTTGAAACGGTGGAGGATGCCGGTACTATGGAGGATATTTTTTTACTCTTAGTTTTGTGAATTTATGTGGCGACGCCAGATAGATAATTTTAGGAAGTTTTTGTATGCTGTCAAGGGATTTCTTTGATTGAAGACACTGAAATTTGTAAATAAGGTAAGTGGATATTTCCTTTCTATAGTGCTAAGATGAATTTCATTTTTTATGTTATTTCATTGTTTGATTTAAAATGTAATCTACTGAGATTATACATTTTTTGTTGGCTGCTCCTTTGAGTTTTTAAGTAAATATAGATCAATGTGTACATGGACAAAGTCAAGGGAGTGCGCAATGCCTAGTTTGTGCGATTCTCTGTTTTTTTTTTTTTTTTTAAGGGAAAATAGGTCAATGTGTAAATGGATACCGAGTTTGTGCAATTATTACTTTATATTGAACGTGAAACAATGAAATTTCTTTGTCTTGTAAGGATAAGCTGAGGCAATTTAAAACAGAGAATATATCTGCTAAGTGTGCTAGTTTACAAAGTCATTTCCAGTCATGTAAACAATTTCTCAACTCAAATTTATCATTAAGAAAACATTGAAGTTCATGTCTAAGTTCAAACAATCGATTTAGAATTTTTCCTCTAGATAGCAAACTAACATCAGTATGAAAAAGAAACTGGGTATGACTACTTCCCATTTCTTCACGTATTTGTGGAAAAAGTTGTGCATTTGAAGAACGGTTTTTAACCCACTGAGCTTTATGGTTGGCTTTATCCGGTCATGAGATTTTGGTCATTTGTTATATATTAGCTTATAATTTATGATATTTTGCTTTCTTACTTTCTTTAATAATATAAATATCATCTTAATAATGTAAGTTTATGAAAATAGAGCCTAAAGTAAGTAATATACAAATTTAGCTAATAAAGTGTCTTTGAATACATGTCTTCATGACAGATCCAAAAACCTGTGCCACTCGGAGGGTTAATGTAGTTTACGATTTTCACACTTTCATCCAGAACTTTCTGTAGATCAGTGGGCATCTTATGTGTTGCTAAAGCCTTTCTGTGTATGCAACAATGTGTGGGTATGACATTTGGGGCAACATTTTGAATTTTTGCAACTAGTCCTTTATTAATTCCGACCATACTTTTTGCTGCATCTGTTCTTATTCCAAAACATCTATTCCAATCAGTTTTGTTCTCTTGCATAAATTTTTTCATAACATAAAATATATCTTCTCCTGTTGTATGAACCTAATAAAGGCTGGCAAAATAAATAGTTGTCATCAATTTCTTGATGCTTTTCATATCTAACAAACGTCATAAGATTTGCAAAATTTGCAGTATCAGTGGACTCATCGACTTGCAATGGATAATAACGACTCTGGGAAATATCAGATAATAACATTTGTTTAACGTTTTTAGACATATCAATGATTTGTTGATGAACTGTATTACTGAACCGGTCAAAAGTTTGTTTTGCTCTATCTCCTATCAGTACTTCTGCCATTACCTTGGATGCAGGCTTAATTAAGATTTCTCCAATAGTTTCCGCTGCACTACATTTCACAATTAAAAGCAATACCAAGTTTGCAGTATTTTTTTATTGTCACCTCTTGTCAAACCAACTCATTACTTTTCGAGACTGATTAAAATCCTTAAGATTGTTTTCAAAAAAATCTATGGGTTTATCTTTGTACTGATTAGGGTTTGTCTCAAAATGGCATTTTAAGTTGGATGGTTTCATGCTTTCGTTTGTTAGATTTTAAAAACAAATGATGCAAAGTGGAATAGGGTCCGTTTTAATCTCCAGTCCATGAGAATCCAAATTTAAGATATTCTTTTCATACTTGCGAGTTTTTCTTGCCTTTTTTTTAACAGTTTTTTTTTTTTTTTCGGAATTGGATTCATTGTTAATTTCATTATTTCCCATTAGTTGATTGCTACTATAATCATTACTGTCTGTCGGCATAGTAGTTCCAGATTTCAACCAGCATTCCCTGTTATATGTTAGGGATAAAAATTATATTTTATAAAAATAATCAAAATCAATAGGACTTACTAAAGCACATAACAAACATTTCCTATAAGAAAAATAACACAAAAGTTAAAAATATACAGGTGCCTGGAGAAGACACTAACTATTCACGGTCTCTGTAGCGAAGTGTGGTATATTCCCGCTGTGTCACATCGGACCGTCTCATGTCTTACAAAACTATCTTGGACTGACTCATGAAAACATAGAATTAGGCACAGTTAAGCAAGGTGCGGTGCATATCCCCACCAAACTCTGGCACAATGTGTACCCCCACCAAACTCTTCGCTTTGGGAAACACTGCCCTAAGTGAATGCGTTGGTCTATTAATTTGTTCCAAAATGTTTAAATTTAGCATAATTCTATGATTAAATTTTTGGCTAAAGGTTTTGATCCCAAAGAACTTGGTTCATATATATGGAAATGTAAAATCTTTTGGAATTTAGATTTGCTTTTTGATTTGACTGACCATGTAGTTTTATCATTTGGCAAGAGCAGGTATTTTTGTTATTTTCTTGTTATCTGTGCCTACACTGAAAAGTTGCAAGCTCATTGGGGACTAGTTTTTTTACAAAGCTCATGTGTGAAAGGCAACAGTCATGTTCGTAATGGTGGCATACTAAGAATTTCATACTGGAGCAATCAATCGATAAAATTAATAAAAGTAAGAAGAATCACTTACATTTTTAATGTGCTTCTTTTGTTGTTTTCCTCATGTTGACAGCTATCTGTTTTTACTTAAAAAGCATCAGAAAATTGCGCAAATTTAGCGTGGCTTCATTGTGTTTCAGCTAAATCAACCATGTACTATATACATACTTGGATTGCCACATAAATAATTTTTAGTGGCATCATGGATTACCACATGACTATTTTGGCGATATACTGCTTTGCTTCATGAATATTTTTTCATGACTTTTACTGGTAGTGCGAATAATCAGAAAGTACCTTATTTTTTAACAGACTGAAATCCACTGCAAGTATTAAATTATAAATTTGAAGTTGATGTTATTATTATCATTTCATCTAACTCTTCAAGTTTAAAACGAACTCATATAACTTTTATTGCCAAGTCTAGTTATTTTGTTATAGTTTTTCATGTATAATAAGAGGTTTTTTTCTTCTTTCAGTTCAAAAACCCTCTCATTGTTTTGCTACTCGCATCAGCTTTGGTTAGCATTTGTATGCAGCAATTTGACGATGCCTTTAGTATCACAGCTGTAAGTAAGAAAGATTTTACTGTTTTTATTGTATGTTTATTGTGTACATTAAATTAGCACACAAATACATTAAATTAGAATACATAAAATAAACATAAATAAATAAATTAGAATAAATTAGAAATACATATATAAATTAGAATAAATACATTAAATTAGAATCTACATGTATTACACTTTTTTTTTTAACTATCTGCAAAAGTACATTACTTGCTTTAGTAGAAGCATAAATAAGGAACTTGTGTGATCTTAGCTTTTTTTTCCCCTCACAATTTTGTTTGTGTGCTATGTTTTTATTAAAACCATTTATTTTGAAATTTAGCATAGCTGTTTGTTAAAATGTAAAACTATCTAATTAAGCATTTTTAGTGCAAAGGAGCAATTTGCCCGGCATTTTGTATTGATTCACTACAACCATTGTTTCACTTTTCGAATTCTTGCCAAAAAATATTATCTCCCTGTGTTATATTTAAAGAAATTAAATAATGAAGACTCTGCATAAATGTATATGCATATTTCTCGCAATGTGGTAAAACAACGGTACCTACAGCCATCAAATTGTGAACAATGTAATCCTCCTGCGAATATGGGCATCTGAAAGCCAAAATTTGAAATTTAGAATTTGTTTTATTATCGATTTCATATTTTGTAAAACTTTAACGAATTTTTTTAACAAACTCTAGGATTTCAAAGCGAGCAATGGTAATGTTGTACAGAAAAAGCATTTTTATCTGCAGTGCACAAAACTGTGTATCGAAAATTCTAAAGATATAATAATTTTAAAATTATTTTGTGATACTGCTCTTGAATTTAGTTTTATGGTTTAAGTGCAAAGAACATGGTATTTAATAAATAAAGGTAACACACAAAATGGTAAAAAAAATGCTCCTTTGAACGTAATTTAAAATTGGAATCCTTTCTTATATTTTTATTAAAAAAAAATTTTTTTTTAAGCAAGGAAAATTATCAAACTTGAAATTTGAGCTTAGTAAAAAGTTAGTGTATTCTTGTAAATGTACCGTAAAGTTGATGGCAGATTATCCATGCATCATGCCACAAAGCATTTCTTTGACTGTTACATGAAGATAATAAAGCACTAGTGACTTTTTTATCGATCTGAATTACGGAAGCTTGAAATATGTTAAATGTTGATTTGTTACTGGAAACTATTTTTCACTGAGGGTTATTATTCTAGAATATGTAAGGTCTGTCAACATCTGTATTTATATAGATACACACACATGTGCATAAGGGTCTAAGACTATAAATGATGATACTATAAGAATTTGGATAGAAAAAAGTCAAGAAGTGAAAATGCTGTAGGACAGTGCTCTTAAAACTCAAATTGCATGTAGGCCAGATGCATGTAAAAGCAACTAATGGGCCTTTTTTTTAAATCAAAATGTAAAGTTTTTTTTTACTATATTTTAAATCTTATTTACTAATTATTTTTTTTAAAAATTTACATAACCAATTATAATAATGACTAAAATCCAAAGCCTGTTATCTGATGAAGCAATTTCTGTTGGTTATACTTTGTATTTATAATGTGTTGTAGTTTAAATATAAAATTTTCAGATAACTGTTTATTCCAAATAATACTAATCTATTAAATTTAATCAATAAATAACTTATTTTTAATTTAAACAAAAATAAAGAGTTTATGAAAAATTTAGCGGAACGAAACTTGAGAATAAATGACAACCTGTTATTGTTTATTTCTGATTTTTCTTTGATGCATATATATTTCTATGGTATTGAGTTTTGCACAGCATTTACCATATTGTATAAACAATGTCAAATGTACCACTTGAAAAAGGACTATTGTAACTATTCTTCTATAAATACAAATGCTGGCTATCTCTAAAAGTATCTATTAACAGAGCATAGAAACAGTTGCAAATAAACACCAAAATGGAACACCTAATATTAAGAATTAACATTCAAGTCATATAAACATAATACTGGACAACCTATCCTCATCAGAGTTGGAGGTCAACTGACTGAAAATTGTTCTCGTTGCCACTAGACATTCGATAAAATAGTTACATCCAAACAGTTCTATTACAGTATAACAGTATTTTTCAAGCAGGAACACTTAAAATATTTGAATTTCATTTTTCTTTTAATTTTCTGTTTTTAACAGTGCATTGACACTATATATTTGAAATATTTCAAGAGTTCTTTTTTTATCCTGCCTGTTTTCATATTATTCACTCATTTATGTATACTTATCTGTTAATTATTATTCAGCTGCAAATTCTATTTATACATGAAACATCACAGTTTTTCAATTTGGCAGGTAAAGGTTCTAGCACAAAACAACTGTATCTAATAGATTTTTATATTTATTTACATTATTTTAGATTTTTTTCACTTAGCTTAAATTGGGAAATTACCTGTTATAGATACAATTTTTGAAACATGAATGCATATGGTCAGCCAAGCCATCTCATTAATCTTTTAATAAATGCAATGTATCTTTGCGATATCAGTCTGTTTTTGTTTATTAAAACACCAAGTCTTTGGAAATTTAAAACAAAAATGCTAACAAGACTTCATATTTATTATATGCTTTTTAGTATATTTATTACTAAATTATATTTTTGTTACAGGCAATTGTTATAGTTGTGACTGTAGCATTTGTTCAGGTAATTATTTTTAACTATTTAATATATTCTTTGAGATTTTTAATATTTTAGTTTTTGCATTCTTTTTTCTTAAAGCTTTTGGAAAAATAAATATTTGTTTTATGTATAAAATGTATTGTTATTTCAAGTGTTAAAATATTCCCGTAAATATCTTGCTTGGTTAAGAGTTAACATGGTTATTCTAAATAAAGAAGAAACTTTAGTATAAATTTTGATTGACAGATAGGTTTATTGTAGCATTTAGAAACTTTTTTTTATTTTATTCTTAAATTTTCTGTGCCATTATAATAAAAATTTTAAGACTGAAAGATGATTGGAGCTCCAATTTACATTATCTGTCTTGACTTATTCACCTGGGATTCAAGTTTTGTAAAGGTTTATGTTTGTTAAGAGTATGGTAGTTTAAGTCTTGTATCAATGTTTAGAGCGTGTCTTTTTGTCTTTTGAAATGTGAAATGGTCTGGAAAATAATTTCTATTCTATTTGCTGATCTAGTTTTTCTTCTCTCTGTCCATTCCTTTAATTCATCTAAGAATGGAGAACAATCCACTGAACTGAGAGCAAAATCTTAAAATGAAAATTTTGTTTTGATTGTGATGTCAATACATCATCTTTGTGATTTTTTTTTTTTTTTTTTTAAACTTAGAATCTGATTGTGGAATCTTCTTTTCCTATGTAATGGCAAACCCTGACTGTAAAATTATCTAGTGCCAAACAATGATATGCATATCATTTTCTAGATGTAAGATAGATATTTAGGGAAAAGTTTTATTCTTGTGTCAGAATGTCCTGGACAAGTCCAAAGATACATGAGTGCGTTAAAAATGCATGAGAGACATAGTAGTGGATCTGCTAGTCAATTTTAAAAGAGATGCAATTTAATAATCATTTAAAAATCTAAGTGCTATCACCAGTGGGAATCTTAAGAAGCATTTTTCAAGGTAGGAGTCATAACCAGGGTGAGCCATTTTTAATTTTTTTTATTCTTAGAGACTTGAGAATTTGACTGTGTTCTGGAAAAATAAAGTATACTGTGGTTAAGTTGATTTTATCATCTGCTGAATTCATCCAGCTTTCTGCTTTTATTAATTTACTGGCTTTTTCTATAAATGTTTCATTGTGCCTGAAAATCCATTACTGTACAACGATTAACATTTCGTAGTGGAGTAGAAGTTTTGCCAGTGGTCAAATAGTTAAAACACTGAGTCTAAGGAGTTTATTCTGGGTTTGTTCCCAGTCAAGCAAACTGACTACATAGTTGATTGTCAGCTTTTCTCATGCATGATGTAAATATGAGCCAGCTTCTCTTATATAGTCTTCCATTAAGGCATTTCTCCTCTTGGGCAGATGACCTTCACATATTTTGCTATATTCTAAATAACTCAGCAGAGTAGAAATATATAATGTGCATTTTATTATCATTGATAATAATGGGATTTGGGTATAGAAATAACCAGTAGGTAATATATAAAAAAATATATTACTTTCATAGGGTTAGTGGTAGTTTTGAAGAGACCTTCAGTGTACCTTTGACCCTGTTATCAAAGTTTGAGACTTTTATCCCAGGTCGAATTTTGATTAAGAAATGATTGTTTGTCCAATCAACAGGAGACAAGTACAGGTTATGATAATTGTTATCTCAAATCCAACCCTGTCAATTCCAAAAATCTCATATGTTGAGCTTTATATCTGTTTTCTGAAGGATCCTAAGCTTACTGATGCCTTTTCTTGGATGTCTGTTAAGATAGGGCTAGTTCCATCAACATTTGCATTCCATTATCTGTGATCAAGGTTAATCTTTGAGGCATAAGTTTTAAACCTGAAATGCAGAAACAATTATGTCTCTGACAAACAATTAAAAGCATCTTAGTCAGAAATCTTACATAATTTAGTCGTCATTATTTCAATATGATGACCTTGATAAAACTCTCAGAATCTGACCTTTTATGCTGTCATGTATTAGGATAATAATATTAATGTACTTTTCCATGTTCTTGCCTTAGGTACATTCTTTAATTATATATGATCATTCTCTTAACTGTTTGACACTTATCTATGAGCTAATATTAAGTCAATATTTATTAATTGTGTAATGGGGATTGTAATACAGATGTGAATCCCATGTATGGAATGAAGATTTTATGCTGCTGTATATTTTAGAGCGAATAAAGCTCTTGCATGTATACACTTCAGATATTTTTTAATTATATGTTTTCAATATGCTATGTAAATTAGTTTTTCTCCTTTCTCCCTTTTTCTTTTATTGTCAAATCATATTCAATTTTAAGTACTTATGTGTTCAAAATTTAATTATTTCTATCTTAAGCTTAAAAAAGGGTCTTTTTCAATTTATTTATTATATATATAAAAAACTTTTTAATAATTAACCTTACCTTTTTTTAATTAATTTTAGGATATAGATCAGAAAAATCACTAGAAGAACTTAATAAGCTAGTTCCTCCAACATGTACATGGTAACTAATTTCACTCTGCTTTAAATATTTTATAACTGTATATTTTTAATTTGCCAAAACTTTTATTTTCAGTGTTATTTTATTAAAATGGAAAAAAAAAAAATTGTCATTCACTTTATTTTTTACAATAATCTTAGTAATGGCATATTTCAGTAAAATCGGTTCAGAGGGCAAATAAAATTATGAAAGATATTTAATAAATTCAGGATTTCAGGAGAAGTGTTTTGTAGTTTAATTATTGAGTAAGATCCTAAATTTGAAATGTTATGTCCAAAATAGCTGAAATCCAATTGATATATTGCAGTTTTTAGTTTGAGAGTGAAATTTCGGACAAGAAGTGTAGAGTTATAGAATATTTAGCTTAAATCTTTCCTTCCCACTGATAACTTCCTTTTCAGGATTTGAGCAGAAATATATCTATATCCTTGATGACTGCCACCCTACTGACAAAACACAGTATAAATCAATTTCTTTCCAATGGAAAGATTGGCAGCATTTCATCTTAAAAATTTGTTTTGTTGCTGTTTAAAAAGTTAGTGCCATTTTTAAAGGCAATAAGATAAAATGTAACCATTTTACTCCATTTTCATTTAGTGTACTTTTAATTTCTCTTTGTGTTTCAATTATTCCAACAAAAGTATTTTTAATGCCTATATAATCATCTTCTGGGAGGTTCCAAATGATAGCTTTTGAAACTGTTTTGTCTAAAGCGAGATACTTGCTTAAATATTTTATTAGTAGGGAGTTTAAAATAATGCTTAATTATGGGGATGAAAAAAGAGTATCTAATCTTAATAGACATTCACATATTAAAGCTATGCCATTTTCTAATATTTAAAGTTTGTTCGTTAAATCTTGGTATTTGAAAATTTTGATCAAAATCATGACACATTATTTTATGGCACAGTATAAATAGTAAGTATGAGCTAATCATAAAATTTCCAAATTATGACACCACTTTTTTTTAAAGGAAGTGTTGTAAGCAAAAATTTTGGAAATTAATGTGGTAGCATAATTCAAAAATCTATCAAGATCATATTATTCAAACAGTCTGTGATGTAATTTGGCAGAATGCCAACAAAAATCAAAGAATTCCATATATAATTTAAATTTTAAATATTTTAATAATGATGTTTTCACAATTATATGGCTTTTTGGTGAAAGAGTATGGCATTATGCATTTAAAATGTGCAAAATAAAACATCATGAAAAAATTTTAAAGCACTTGATAAGCAGTGCCATTTTATTTGGTTGCTGAAGATGAATGTTTAATTATTTTTGATTCTAGGCATAAAAAGATTTTCCACACTTCTGTTAATGCCTCCACCTAATTTTTATCACTAACTAGAGTGACTGATGCCAATATGATAATGATCAGTTTATTTTCATTCTCCTTTGTTAAATTTTACCATCTGTATTTGATTGTGATTGAAATACTAGATACTTTTTAACATGATTAAAAGAACTGTTTTCTTCTTTTGGTTATATTTTAAGTGCTTAGAATTTAATTGTACTCTACAAGTTATTGTAGTATAAAGATTGGAATTCATTGAGCAGAAGAAAGAAGCTGTAACTTCTCTCCAAGAAAATATTTTGTAATATCATATAATATGTCCAGCATCTTAGTATCTTCATAGCCAAAATCTAATGAATGTAAGAGAGTAATTCATTTAGATTTTGGCTATGAAGATTGACCCTCTTATATTCACCTTTTTTTCAGGGTACTGTACTTTTTACAGTTTCATATAAAACTGCCATATTTTTAGAATGGATGTTTCAGATGTATAAGAGTTTATGGGAAGTTTTGGAGCAACTTAATTTGCATGAAAAACATCTTTTATTGACGAAAGCGCATGTATGCAATAGGCCATTTTTGTTTTCGTTATAAAATGTCACAAACTGTCTCTTTACTTCTTAAAGATGTGTTTCCTTTCAACACTTACATTGTAATAACCTTTTATGAAAACTCTGGAATGCTCAATGTAGCATCTCAAATGGCAATGATTTCTTCTTCAATCTTCTGTTTCATTCCATGGATAGTTGTAGTATATGTATGGTACACCTTGCCTTTAAGATGTCCCCACAGGATGAAATTGCAAACTCTAAAGTCAGGGGATGTTGCTGGCCATGAAATGTTACTTTTATATGAAATGACATGCTTTCCAAACAGTCGTCAAACAACTTCCATCGATTATCAAGCAGTATGTGGCGTGGCTACGTCCTGCTGAAACCATGTTTTTTTATGTTAAGATTAAGATCATGCAGTCTCAGTGTAAAGAATGTTTCAAACATATCAACATGCTAAGTGGATGTTACTGTTGTTGCAATGCCATGCTCACATTAAAATAAGTAAGGGCCAGTGACATCATGACATGATACAGCACACCATACCGTCACTTTGATGCTATGTAATGGATGCTTCAAAAGCTCGTGAGGATTTTCCTGTGTCCAGTAACAGAAATTCTGTTTGTTAATGTATTTGTTGAGGTGGGAGTGGGCTTCATCTGACATCCTTACATTAAGGAAATTGGGATCCTCTTAGTTGATTTTAGCCAGTAGCTGTTTATTAAACTCCCTACGTGACGCAGAGTCTCGTGGATGTAATTTCTGCACAATTTGTAACTTTAGGGTGTGGAACTTTAATTCATGCATTATTCTGTTTGATCAATCTCTACTCAGATGCATGTTGTCGAATAAAGCGGCGAGGCTTCTCTCAATGGAATCTCAAACAGCAGTAATGTTCTCTGGGGTATGTATCATTCGAATGCCACTTGAAGGCTCCTTTTTCAAGCTTGAACCCGTTTCTTCAAAATTACACACCCACGTTGTAATCACATAAGCTGATAGAATATGTCCATGACATCCTAACTGGTACTGCCATCAAAATACCTTTTGCTGAGCAGTCACACTATCAACCTGCTTGTAAAATGCTCTCACAATAATAGCACATTCCACATTACTCCTAATGTTGCATAATTACTAAATGGCCGCATGTTCAAAAACAACTACACGTCAATTCTGAACATTACAGTGTTGCCAGTACTTAACATTCAAAATTTCCTGTCGCTACCCTGTATAATATTTCATTGACTGTATATAATTTTCACTAGTGTACATATTATGTGGAAGGTGTGCCAATAAATATAGTACATATTGAAATGTACATATGTAACAGAATTTTGTAGGTGCAAGAACAGAAATAAAGCAGGTCATTTAAGTGTAACCATGATTTTTGTTAAGATAAATGCATTATAAAGAAAATCTGCATTCCCAATAGAATAGGATAAAGGTGTAGTTATCAGTAATTCCTTATATAAAAATAACCTTAAAATCAGCGATGCTATTAAATGCACTGCATTTCAATCTTTCAGCCATCTAAATGCCAATTTTTAAAAGCGCAGCTATCCTAAAATGAATGGACGTTAGAAAGTTATTTATGCAAATTCTTATTCTCAGAGCTGATGAATGTAGTGATTTATTTTCATCTTATTATCAAGAGAAAACCTTGCAAACTACCTGCAAAGGTCACGCTGAACCTTTCCCTTCTAACAGTTGAATGTTATCAGGACCAGATTTAGACTTGATAAGGCCATAAGCTATTTAAGATGTGGGGCTCTTTATAAGTCTGTTATACTATATTTTAATTTTTTTTGGGGGGGAGGGCCCTAAGCTATAGCTTGTGTAGCTTATATGTGAATTCTGCACTGAATGTTATGCCAGATTAATACAAGAACCAACCAATCACAGCAACACAAACATGAATTGACATTCAGTGTATGATTTTCCATAGTTCGCTGCACATTCACCTTCAGTAGCTATTTATGGATGATTTGCAACCTAAAGAGCAACAGAAAGAACAGTAAGAATGGGCAAAATATCAAGTTACAGGGAAGTTGAAATGAAGATATCTTTAGATATTGTCATGTTAATATTACTATATATAGTTTATACATGACTACTTTTCATTTTTATGCTCTTACTGTAGCCACATCTTTTAGAAATTAATTATTCATATAATTTTCCCCTTTCAATTTTTGAATGTTAAAATTAGTAAAGAAAGAAAGAAAATGCTCAAGGAAAAATATATATATAATTACATTATTACTTGCTTTCCAAATCTTCACAGAATTGTGACATTAAGCTTTGTATTATTAAATTTGAGTTTTGGTAAAAAAATTATAAATCTGATTTATTTTTGAAATGGCGAGAAGCAATTATAGATATATGTTAATTTTCCAAAAGAGTAAATTATTAAAATTTTCTGATCATATTGTAACCTATTTAGAATTTTTAATAATTGGTTACAATTTAGCCTTGTAGAGATAGTTACGGATACCTTAAGATACTGAAATATGAATCTTCTCCTATTTCTGTGTGACTATTTTAGAAAAAAATTTTCCTTTGTACATATTAATTTCTCTTACTTAAATATGGGAATAATGACATATGAACAGTTGAGAAATAAATTTTGCTATATATTTAACTCTCACTAAAAAATATTGAAATTTCACTGTTCTTTCTTTATTGAGAGACTTATTATGTGCACAGTAATTTTTTTTGGCCATACTGATGTGTATTGATATTTCTTAACCTTACAATAGTTTAAAAAGCACTTATAATACATTTATAGCACTCTAGAATCTAGAATTTGACATATTTTATGTGATTCTAGAATTTTCTTTTATTTGTAAAAAAATATATTTGCTCATACTACAATTATGTATTTTCTTAGCCTTAGGGATGGCCGTCAAGAAACATTTTTAGCCAAAAATTTGGTGCCTGGTGATATAGTTTATCTTGGAATTGGTGATCGAGTACCTGCTGATCTTCGGTTATTTGAGGTAGTATAGTTCTTTGAAATTTATGAAATAATGTAATTATTTTGAAAATTAAAATTTTTTTAGAAAATTGCATTGATCTGAATAAGTGCAATAATGCCTCTTATGTAAGTAACATGTTCTGTAAACCTTTACATAACTTGAATTTTATGCTAATTGAATATGTAAATTGTTTCAATAAAACTTTGTAACAAGTTGCAGTATTGATTATTATATGTCTGTATACTATAAGGTGTGTTCGAAAAGTTCGGTGATTGGTCTCATAATTAAAAAACCGCGCTGGTTAGGATCTTGCATTCACGCAGATGCAGTGAGAATGTCATGTAGAGCCATCTAACAGCCATTTTATGACAGATAAGAGGAAGCGCACACTATGAGCAGTTTAACACAGTCAGTGTGAGAAAGATTGTCAGTGTGACATGGAGCAACGCATAAACATAAAATTTTGCTTCAAGTTAGGCAAAACGGCGACGGAGACACATGACATGTTAGTGAAAGTATACGGTCAAGAAGCAGTGAGTAAAAAGTGTGTTTATGAGGGGTTTAAACGCTTTACAGACGGAAAGGAGGATGTCAAAGGTGAGCCGTGGTCGGGGCGCCCTACAACAAGCACAACTCCAGACAATGTGGAACGAGTTCGACGGATGCTTGCAGCAGATCAACGACTATCTTTAAAAATGAAAGCTGGCGAATTGCAGATAAGCCTAGACAATGTGAGCACCATTGTGCACAAACATTTGCATAAACATAAGATATGCGCTCGGTTTGTATCGCACTCACTGTCAGACGTGCAAAAGCAATACCGGATGGAAACCTCTGGAGATTTTATCGACATGTGTGACCGGAATCCGCAATTCTTGGAAACAATAATTACAGGAGATGAGTCGTGGTGCTATCAATATGATCCGGAGACCAAGCGGCAATCCATGGCATAGTGTTCAACCTCGTCACCCCCTCCCCAAAAAAGTCGTTTGACATAATCCAGGATCAAGACGTTGTTGATCATCTTTTTCGACAGTAAGGGTTTGATCCATCGTGAATTTGTACCTGGGGCTACAACCGTCAGTGTGGAATACTATGAGGGGGTTTTCAAACGGCTGCTGCTACGCATACGCCGGGTTCGGCCACAGTACCAGAATGGACAGTGGAATCTGCTCCATGACAACGCACTAGGTTCCAGTTTTGGATCACCTTCCATATTCTCCAGATCTGACTCCTGTGGACTTCTTCCTGTTTCCCCGCCTCAAAGCAGTTCTGAAAGGCCAACACTTTTCCGACATTACTGAGATCCAACAACGTGTGACAACGGTGCTTTGAGCCATACCGAAAGAAACGTTTGCAGACGGTTTCCAACAATTGTATACCCGATGTCAAAAGTGTATTGTTGCTAATGGCGAATACTTTGAAGGCCAGTAAAGCTATTTTGCTTGTTTCCTTTTTTTTATGGTAAAATTCACCGAACTTTTCGAACACACCTTGTATTTGTACATTATTATTTCGTAAATGAAACCTCATTAAGTTCTCTGTAGTGGCTGAATTGGTGCTGGTGGTGGATGATTGTGAATAGAAATACTGTTCTCTGGAAATTTCTGTTTCTCTTGATGTTGAAGGCTGAATACCTGTGTGACCAGTGATGAATTTCTAGTGTCCAGCCTACTTCTATCATGAAGGCTGAAAGCTGATTTGTGGAAGTTATTGCCTCGAAAATATTGTGATCAGCATGTCACCAACATCTCTGCTGTTGTTTCTTATCTCACTTGTCTGATAGTAACTTTAGAACAAATTGCAAATTTGATTGTCGCAAAGAGGGCAATATTGCATCTCTCGTTGACATGGATCCTGGACATGGCCATGCCAGGATCCTGATATCTGTGAATTGGCATAAGTTTTGTCCCTGATTCCTGGCCATGGTTCTTGAACACATTATAGGTGACAGTGCATCTGTACTCATTTCAGTGCCATGTTTGAAAAAATGAGTCTAAGGATCTTCCATGCCTCTTTCTCTACAGTTAAACCACTTGAGAGCACTTTTCGGCTCATTGGGTATTTTAAGTGCTTCCATGGTCTAAGGACATTATTCACTTACAAAATATCCAAGTCTTCTCTAAGATTCAATCCTAAGCCCAATGATATGGCGAGTACCAATGCTAACCTCTGTACCAATCAGGGTGGCCATAAACATGTCTAGGGTAAATTTTATGGTCATATGTTCTTTACTTCCTGTGTAAGTATCTGGTCTCTCATGTGTAACTTTATTTCTCTGTAGATTTGTATGTTTTTTGAATCATTAGAACCATCTAGCACCAGCTTTCAATGTACTCTGTGTGTCTAATGCTAGGCTTTTCTTGTAATTCTTTACATAAAAACCTAGCCTTCTTCTGGGCAATTATAAAACTCAATAGTGTCCACGTCTGTATAAAGTTCTAGATTGTCTGTGATGGCAATTTATCTATCTCTGAAATCGGGTCCAGCCTTTTGTATTGGTAAACGTGTGTAAATTTTGACATTACTGCATCTTTCCTGCCTTTAACAATGCAAACTTTATATTTCAGTGTCATGTATATTGTAGAATGAAGTCGATTTATATGCAGAGTTTTTTGTATAATTTTCTTGTCTTCATACATTGGAATTATTTCAACTTTTCTTCTAAAACAATAACAGACCTTTGATTATTTTAGACTTATTCATATTGTTACTGTATGCAGAGCATTTGTTGAAAAGTCTGTGTTTCCTGATAGCATTTTAGTTTTAACCTTTTAACATATACTTTTCATAGATGAAATGCATTAAATTTCATTGTTTGTTATTAAATTCTTACTTTATGTAAAATATTTGAAAGGTAGATTTTAGAGGGAAAAAAAAAAAAAAAATTTTTTTTTCCCCTTTTGACTTGGAAATTGCTCAAGAAAGAAAATTAATTTAATCACTTAAACTTTGCTTATTATTATCATGCTGTCAAAATGTGTATTATTACTTAAGTAATGTAATAAATTTTATTACTTAAATAATATAATTTATTATCTTTACAAAGAACATAGTGTAGTATATTATTAAATATATTTATATAACCTTTTTTTTAGTAGGCAGTTGACATTGCTATTGATGAAAGCAGTTTTACTGGTGAAACAGAACCGTCTAGCAAGGTTACAAAACCTTTAGAAAAAACAAATGGAATTACTAGTATGCATAATATTGCTTTTATGGGAACTCTTGTAAGATGTGGAGTTGCAAAGGTTTGTAAAATATTCATATATTTAAATTGAATAATTTAATGTTTTACTTTTTCTTTTTTCTAATTTTATTCATTATTTTCCATAAATGGACTTTTGTTAAATATTTTTCTGGGTAATAAAGATATTCTGCATTATCTTCTACTCTTGTGATCTGATGTAAATTAATAAAATTTTAAATATTAGATGTTATAATTGCATGAACACTTTTATCTGCAGGGTATAGTGATATCTACAGCAGAGAATTCAGAATTTGGTGAAGTGTTTAAAATGATGCAAGCAGAAGAAGTATGCATTTACTATTTAATTTGTAATTTTTTGGTACTAACAATTTCAAAAATAAGTGTAAATAATGATTCAAAATAAGTTAATATATATAAGCTAAATTTCATTTAAAATTTTTTTTAATTTAATTTATTTATTTATTATTATTATTTTTTTTTTTTTTGGTTAAATCAGTTTTCAGAGTACACGAAGTTATGAATTGAGTTACAGAGAAATCAGATTTGTGCACATAAATGCAAAAATATACTGTAAGTTAATACATACACATGTTATATAATTATATTTTTATAAATTTCACAATAAATATATCTTCTTAATATAGGCTCCCAAAACACCTCTTCAAATAAGTATGGATACATTGGGAAAACAACTGTCATTGTACTCTTTTGCTATTATTGGATTGATTATGCTAGTAGGCTGGTTTCAGGGAAGACCTATAATGGAGATGTTCAACATTGGTGTAAGGTATGCATATGTTTTTAGTGTTCATTGTATAAAATTATGTTTATTTCTGAATGTTTGATGTCATAAAAGATGTAAAAGAATGTTAACATGGTTTCCTAAAAATGCCTTATTTCATAAAATAGTATTTAATTGTGAGCGTATGAAACTAAAGTATGGTAAAAATCCTAATTAATCTAAGTGATGGAGAAAAACACCAGGATTGAATTAGTAGGTCTAAGAAACAGTCATATCATTATTTCTTGGTAAATGTGTATATTTTTATAATATGTATGTTCTTCATTTATCAGATGCAAAAATTATGAATTCTGATTATATCTCTGTTCAAATAATGGCTTCCAAATATGAATGTTTATTGATAGATTATGTCAACTAAAATTCAGTCTGTATTAAGAGTCCTGTTAAAGGAAAAACTATTAAATATGGAAACATAAAAAATTTTGATGAACTTTATATACACACTTAAATATATTCAGAATATCTCAAGTTTTAATCTTTCTGTGGAGAAATTTGAAATTTTCTGTGAGGTCTCTCTGATGATAAACATTTTTCATAAAAAATATTTGTTACTGAGACATATAGGGTTGCATATAGGACTTTTTGAAAATCCTCCCCACTTTTTATAATTACTTTTCTTTTATAATGGTTCATGCATTTAAAACACGGTGCCATTAATTTCCATTATATTATTATTGTTATATTTTCCATTATATTATATACTTTTCCAGCTTTGAATTTTCATATTTCCATCGTCTTAAAATAATTTTCCATGTCATCATTCTGTATATACATATATATATATATATATATTAACATTAAGAAAAGAGCAAAAATTATCAACAAGAGTTGGAATAATGTAATATTTTCAAGGTGCATTCCGAAGGTCAGACCATACCGTTTTCTTCAGAAACAGCTGAAAAAAAGGCATATTCAAATCTTCAAAATATTTTTTCAGAATTTCTTTTATATATTATAGCAATTTTCATTCTTTTTCTTATTAAAGCTATTTTTATCTATCTGTCTTTGCTGCTCATTGCAATTGTAGCACTCATAGTGGATTCCACAAGATGTAAGTACCGTAATTTCCGGAAGAAACGCCACGGCGTTTACGTGTTTAAAACTTAAATTTTCAGCGGGTGCGGCGTTTCTACCCATGCGGCGTTTAGGTGCACTAAAAATAAAATATTTCCTATGATGGTCATTGTACATAGTTTGGATGGCCTTGTCATTGTGCATAGACTGGTGCTGTTCCCACACAAAAGACCACTCAGTTGCTTTTTGCGAACGTTATTTTGTTTACATTCTTTCCCTTGAACGGACCTACATGCCTTATTCACCCTAAACAAGATCTCAGAACAATAACATTCTTCCCCCTTTCAAATCAACATTCTCATCAGTTTGAATAGTCTCTCTCCTCTGCCATTCGATGAATCTTCCAGGACTCATCCACTCCCCACCCCTGCCTTTTCTGTAATTTTTTTCAAAGGCGGACACGACTCCACCTGCCTCGAAATAACGAACTCTGACGTATTTCCCCTTCAGCATGAATGGATTTTTCTCGGCATTCTGCCAAATATAGATCCCATCAGTTTGGGTACAAGTACTTTTTGGATAGTTTTTAATTAGGGAGCAGAAAATTTTTGAAAATGTCTCTAAACGGCACAGAAGCTATACATTTCTTACCTTTAATTTATTTTTGAGTTATGGTTTCATTTCATGCATTTTTCTTAACTGGTATGTCATATATCAGGACTTAGGTTGAGTTTTTGCATCTATACGGCCCACGACGATGTCACGCGCAATTTAATCTATTGCGGCGTTTCTGTGTAATTTAAATTTTTTTCTCGCCATTTCTCTCGATTGCGGCGTTTACGCTGATGCGGCCTTTCTTCCGGAAATTACGGTAGTTAAAAAAAAGGGGGAAGTTCCATATCTCCTGTTCTACTCATCCTATCTACAAAATTCAACTTGCATTTTTCATGTTCTTTAAACCATGACTTAGTATATATGTTTTAGATTTATACATACATATTCTAACATGCATATTTTGACACAAAATTAGACATTTTTGGAAATGATATGCTGACTTTTTTCCATATTTCGATTCTATGACTCAAATTAGGCCTAAAACCAAGTTTGTAAAATTTGGGAAGAAACTTACCGAGTAATTCGAAAATATAGTTTGACACAGTTTTCTTTTCTGTCATTCTGAATAAATCAAAAAAAAAAAAAAAAGTCTCATTTCTTCTTTCTTAAAAATATTGTTATTTTGTATTATATTTTTTTATCACAGTTGTTATTTTTAGATTTTTTTTTAAGAATTGTATTTTAAATATTTGAGTAGCATTGTTAAATTATAGTTGTTCAAATAGTTATTTTAAAAATTCACATTTATTTATTTGGATTATGTACTTTAAATATATTCATGTAATTTAAAAAAAAAAAAAAAAAAAAAGATTTTATTTATTTAAATTGAATTTCTTTGGAAGGAATATTTTGTGATCCAGTATTTATCATGTTGCCTTTGAAAATCTATTCTGCAGTGAAAGAGAATTGAGAATGATACTGCATACAAACAGTTTTCCCACAGGTTTATCCCTGTGCTGCTGTTTTACGTATTTTAACATCCTAGATTTAGTTTACTAAAATATTAATAAGCTAAATTTTTTCATTTTTTAAATTGCAAGAATCAAAAAGTGTACGTTTTAAAAATAAACAAATAAAATATTTTATCTTTTTATTGCCAGAATTTTTCTTCTTAATAGCTTTTTCCCTCAAGGAAATGTCTGTAATTTTCTTGAGGCATTTTGTAGATATCCACATCCATCCCCCTTTCTTTTTATTTCCTATTTACCATAGCCACTTATGAAATAGCTTGGTTTCCATGACATTCTTATGATCAAGAGGTCCTTCCATTTTGTCAGAGTAAATTAGTGAAGCGATTTAGTCTATGATACTGAACATCTTTAGAGGCAAGTCATTTTGAAGGTAGACTTTAATCAAAACTAAAATCATTTTTAGTTGATGCTCATTTACTTCTTTGGATAAATTCCTCAATCGCCAACAAATTCGGCAGAGTGAAAACCTCAGCAAAATATGCTTTGAACCTCCAGATATTTCGGCTTAAATGCACAATTTCTTTGAAGTGATTTTTCGCTGTTGTTCTTTCTTTTAATTTCTTTCTTTCAGAAGCATTTATTTCAGTATTGAATGTACAGTTCTTTTTAACAATTGTATTTCCATAAATTTTGTATTCTTATCAAATTCTCATAAAACTTCAATTGTATCATGCAGGGAGACTGCTTTTATTTTCTTGAAGTTTAAATTGCTAATTATTCTTAAAGTAGAACCCAAAGTACAAATAGATGAGTTAAAGTATCCTTACCAATTAGAGAGATAAAAAATCTCTAAAATTTTTTAGTGAAGAGAATCCAGGGTTTATTCTGTCCAACCTAGTGTTCACTCTTTATATTAGGTGAAAATATTCCAAATCATATAATTTTGACTAATTTGAGACCATAAATGAGATACTAAAGAACATATTTATGAGAGAAAACCAGCCAATTGAAACATTCTTTGTAAGAGAGTGAATAAAAAAATTTATATTTCATATACTTTCTTATTAAAAGGTATGTCCAAAACTGTCAAACTTCTTAGTTCAGTTTATATTGTTAAATACTAGTTTGCAACTCCTGACTACTATGTAGGTATATCGTGCCTAAGATCTTTCACTTTTATGGAAAAAGTGAAGAATGAAACCAAATATAGTCAAATTTCAATAAGCTAAAACTGAAGAAACATACCTCTGAAAAAGTATAAAAAATTTAATTTTGAATTAATATTGATTTCAAATAATATGTTTTTATATTCAGTTGAACTTACCTTCAAATTTGTGGTTCCAACAACCATTCGTCAAAAATTTCGACTAACTGAAGTTTGAGTAATTGAAATTTTAGTGTATATTCACAGTGTGATAGTTAATTTAACCATTCAGCAACCATGCACATAGTAGTTCATTAATCAAGCAATGCCGACCCTCATTTTCGTATGCTTTCTTTTTTGTTGTATTCCAAGTTCCAAAGAACAAACTAGCGAGCAAGCCTGCCAGATGAGCGGGCTATAGCCAAAGCAAAATTTGCAAGTTCTACGAATGCCCGAAAAGCAAATGTTTAAAAACATTTCAGTATGAATGAAATTAGTTCATTCTTTCCAAGCAATTTCTAAATAATTTTTTTTATTTCCAAACCAGGAAACAAAAATGTTGACAGTTCAGCTTAATAAGTATGACATCATGATTGAAATTTAGTTTAATATAACAACATTTTCTCAATAAAGAATTAATGTGGCATTAAATATATCGTCTCAATTATGCTAACATGAAACAAAAAAGTTGCCAACAGGAGTTATTTATTTAAATGTTGATATTAATGAAAAATTTTCAACGTACAATAACATCACATGCAATCACGTACTTTCTTCAGTGTCAGAATATGACCTTATATAATAATAATGTGTTTCAAGTTTGGCAATATTTTTATTTCATATTTTGTAAAACTTTACAAATGTTTTATCAACAAACTATGTGATTTGAAAATGAGCAGTGGCAACACTTTCCAAAATAAAGCAGATTTTTATCTCCAGTGCGCAAAACTGTTGCCACTCAGAAAAATGAGAGCTAATTAGCATTTTCAGAGTTTTTAATTAATATCTTGGCTGATTCGTCGCTCAAAGGAGATAATGGTTGAAATGCCTTCCCACGAATTTTTGGAAATGGTCATAATATATTTAATGTGTGGCAATGCTATTTTCATTGCATAGTTTGTAAAACTTAGAAATTTTTTATTAACTTTACAGTTTGAAAGCTAGCAGCGGCAACATTTTTTGAATAAAGCATATCTCCATTGTGCGAGACTCAACTCAGAGAAATAAAGTCAATAATTAGCATTTTCAGAGTTTTTTATTAATATCTCAGCTAGTTAAAGTCATATGAAGATGAGAATGGTCAAAATAGCATGCCACGAATTTTTGAGATCTGGGGGTACCTTTCTTGAAGCTCAACCTCCCTGCCATTTTGGAGGAGATAATGCACAAAAAACAAAACAGAATTGTGGAAACAATGTGGAATTTGCCAGCAGTGGAAGAAATTGAAGTGAAATTCTACAGGAATAGAGAATTTTGGTTATAATTTCTAAAGAGAACAACAAGGAGATATGTTTGATATATTGTCACAGTTGCCGGAGTTGCTTAGTGTGAGTCTCTACATTTCTCTGATATTTTTTTAAGTGAAATCATATTACTGTGTATTTGGGGAGAAGTGTAGCACAAAAAAATTACTGAAAGATTTGGAGAAAAGAGAAGTGTTTTATTTTTTTATCACATAATCCTCATTTAATAATTAAAATTTGCATTTTAAATTACTAATGTATATATTCTTTTGATATGTTGACAGTGTTTGCCAACTTAAATATCCATAGGTTGGCAATCTTGTTTAACATACACCCTATAAAATTTTATCTTTTCTTCTGTAAAAAAACTGCGAAATTGCGCTAAGGTGGTTGCTTTAATATGTAAGTACCAATGCATTTAGAATTGAAGGTTTAGCCTGAATAACACAGGATTAAAAATTTTCAGTTTAATTCTCAGCTATTTAAGTTAGCTACTCAGCAAAACATTAAAATTTGTAGCATTGTTTCGGCACTTCAACTTTGAGTACTGTTTGTTATTGTTTTCAATAAATTATCAAAAGACACCTACTTTGAAGAACACTTCAAAACAAAAATATAACATTGTTAAGTTAAATCTAATGTCACTTAATCTAAACACCTGTTTATATTCCCAGGGGAATAACGCAGAGAGATAAAAGTCCCATTCTTAGCTTAGATTCGAAGAACACCAGGCGTATGCAATAATAGCGAATGTAACTGAACACTCATTTGTACCCTGTCTTGGTAGTTTTAAAACCAATACATTAACAGAACGCTGCCTGAGATATAATAGTTTAAATATTTGCAAATCAAATAGTAAATTAGAATCTAATAACCTAGTTCCTAATTTCCATCAGTGGCTGAGCGTTTTGCTAATTGCTCTTATTTTATCCTGGAGTAAGTCATTCTTCTTCAGCGTAGGTGGTTGGTTGGTCTGTGTGTCAGAGCCCAGTGTGGAATCTTATTAAATCTGCATGAAATGATATTCTTCAAATACTGTCTACAATACATGCTGTGGGTGCTCTGCTGTGTGCAGTTTGTTAAAACTACTGAGAATAAATTCAAAAAGTACTAAATCAAGCTCAATCTTACTACCATACAGATTTGTCATTTCAGTCTTCTCTACCTTATTTATATGTATCATCGTGGTTATAAATATCTGTTCTGTAACCCATGTACTTTTTTCACTGAACTGTGATATATTATTTTTTATTGGTCTTTGAAATAACAATGTTTGTACATTGGTGGACCATTGCTAAGGAAAGGAGCAGCACTAATGGTAGCAACCACAAAATGGAAGACGAGAAAATGTGGAAATTACCGTAAGTGCAGGGTACGCAAAACATGTTGTGCATATGCAAATTTAGGATTGCCGACATGTTAGGATTAAGTTGTTCGACATGTGATAGTTGCTGATAAGAGATATAAAGGATTTGATGCATATTGGCCATTGTTGTTTAAAAGCAAAATTGTTTAACAGGAAAGAATCAGTTATTAAAATTAATTTTCAGTATGTCTTCCAGACATCACTTGGATGATTATACACGTGGCCATATTATTGGCAAGATTGAAAAAGGGCAAACTATAACAAATGTTGATAAGGAGTTCAACAACAGCCAAAATGTCATTTTTAGGCTTTGGAAATCATTTCAGACAAATGGAATATGTAGCAAATGTCACAAAGGTGGCTGTATTCACAGTATAACCCTTGCAGAAGTTAGGTACATATACTGTCGACAAAAAGAAGCCAGTGCAGAACAGCTGCTGTGGTAGCAAATAAGTTGCTTGGTGCTATGTGTAAGTGAATCAGTCATCCAAAGAATTGTAGCCAGGCATTTGCATCTAGGTTGGTTTGGTTTGGCTTATTGAGAATACAGCAAAGCACACTAGGGCTATCTGCATAAGGGGAGGGATGCCTTCATGGAGGACTTTCTTAGGGAAACTGGCTCATATACATGTTACACATGGGGGAAACCACGAAAATGCCTATGCAGCCAGCATGTTCGCGGAATTCGAACCTCAGACCGAACTACCAGTGTTTAGCGATTTTACCGCTTGCCCGCTGGTGGGCCCATTTGCATCTAGGAGGACCACCATCAAGACACCTGGAGAGAATACCAATAGGCTTATGTACTATTCTGAGATGATAGTAAGTTCAGTGTATCATCGGATTGTAGATGCCAGTTGATCTGTCGGGAGAGTGGTATTCCATGTATCCGATAAACATACAGGAAAGGGATTGATATCCTACATGTAGTGTCATGGTATGGGTTGGGATCATGATCACTGGCCATACGTCACTCTATGTGCTTCCAGCTGGGACTATGACTGACCAGCGATACCTTAATGATGTTATGCTGCTTCATTTTTTCATGTTCCATGATAAAATCGTTTTCATAGAAGACAGCACAACATGGCATCCAACAGTCGTTGCCGATATGTATCTAGAGAATGGGGATATTCAGTGTCTCATATGACCAGCACATTCTTCAGATCTGAATCCCATTGAAAATATTTGGAATGCTTTGGGAAGGAGTCTTGTTGGTCAACAATGCCCTCCAATAAATAAGGACATCCTCATCTGTGCACTGACAGAGGAATGAGATAAATTACTTGAACAGCTGCTGGATAATGTGCAAAGCATCACACAACATTTGGAATCTTCCATTTCTCTCCATGCAAGCCATATCTCATATGCCTGTAGACAGTAATTACACTTTTGCCACTGTTATGTTTTCAGCTTAAAATGACCATTTTGTCCCTTAAATCTGACCTTAGCAATTGTCCACTAGTGTATTTCTTTGAATAAATAATTGACCATATGTTATTTATTGATTATCTGCACAGCCTTGCAGTTGCTGCTATTCCGGAAGGTTTACCTATTGTGGTAACAGTTACTCTTGCCCTGGGAGTCATGCGAATGGCTAAAAGGCATGCAATTATCAAAAAGTTACCAACAGTTGAAACTCTAGGTATTTATAACATAAAATAAATATACATTAAAATATTTCTGATTTTATTATTTTATGTGCATCTGTTGCTGCAAAATTAGTTTACGTGTATGTATAAGTACTTAATTAGTAAGCATTATATTATAAGAATTGTAAATAATAATTCTGTTGTAATAAAATATAATATATTTTAGGAGGATCATTTTTCTCCTCTTGAAAATGTAGTCATGGATTAATCATGAATATGATCAGAGCTAACATTTAAAGTCAAATTGCATAACATTTTCACTTTACAGCCTGATATTTAAACCACTTCCTTATCATGGTCACTTTTATGTAGATTATTACGATCAATTTATCATCCTTATTTAACATGATCACTTTTATATAGTTACTCTGAGGGGGGAAGAGAAAGATAATCCTTGGTTTAAATAATCTAGCAATGAAATGATAGTATAATAATTAATTATGATTATTAGCACTAAATCCGTAAATGTAATTTTCTAATTGGAAACATATAATACTATTATTAATAGCAATTACCTTTTTCTGATAATTAAAAAAAAAAAAAAAAAGAAAAGAAAAAAGAAAAAACACTTAAATTCTGTTATTGTATACATGAGTTGTAAATTATCCTGTTAGTATACATGAGTTGTAAATTATCCTGTTAGTATACATGAGTTATAAATTATCCTATGCACTTAAAATCTGTGAGACAGTTTTCAGAGGGGGGGGGAATATTAGATTAATTGCAAACCTACTTACCATACGTATATATCTTAGATTTTTGAATCATAATGTTAATGCTTAATCATAATGCTTTGTTAATTTTACATTCCTTTTTCTGAAAAAGATGTGTAGGTTTGTCTGAAGACTATTTTGCGATAAGAGTTAAAATTGTTTTTAAACTCGCTTATTCATCTCTTAATTTAAATTTAATGTTTAATGGTGCAAAAATAGTTGGCAAATTCTGAGATACAGTATTATGTTATGTATTTAACCTTTTTCACACTTTGAACATAAGATATAGCAGAATTCTAATAATCCACATGCTTTGTGGCTGAGGGTTATGTGGATTAGTGAATTTTCTGGATTATAGATCCATATCTTTCTGAGTTTTATTTTAATTTTTTCTTGCTAATTTTTGCATTAAATTTGAATTGTCTACTCGTAAGCAAAATTCTGCACATTCATAACTTTAAAATTATTTAATCAAGATTAATTGAATATGAAGTATATTTTAAAAGTAATGAATATATATATTTAATATGACTTCACAAAGAAAATGTCAGTACAGGAGAAAATAGTAGAGGGAAAGTTTTTTTAGAAAATAGAATAATTTTTTTAATAAAAATGTATCAAAAAATTTTATCTAAAAAACTTATTATCTGGCCAAAAAATTACTTTTTACAATCTTAAGCAAGAAAAATAAGTACACTGTTCTCAAATTGCCCCCAGTAGTATCAGTTTCCTTAAATTTAATTCCTGTGGTAATTCTGTTGTTACATTCTATGCATTTGCAGTTGATATAATGACACTAAATTATTATACAAGCTCTAGTTTTTAGGAATCTATCCTTACTCATGGCTGATGTTAAATATCTGGTTGTTGGAAATGTCATGATGCATTTGATCTATGTTTTACAAGATGTATTTCCTGGCACAAAGAATACATTTCAATTGGTGATAACTTGCCTATTTTGCTCAATAACATTGTATTTGAGTAAGCTGTAGAATTCCTTGTTCATAGAAGCATCTCAAGAAATTGAAGAAGGTGCTGATTTACAACCTCATCTGAATTGAATCTTATGCCATGCAAAGACTATTGAGTGAAACATGTAGAAGTCTGATTGTACAAGGTTAGACTAATATGATCACCTCCCATCCACACTGCAAAAATTTGTGACAGTGACCAAACTTGAGTGTGGTTTTGCATTGTCAAGATGGAACACAATGCTTTTATGATTAACGAATTGTGGCAATTTCTAGATGATGTCTTCATTCAGACTGTTAAATTGCCGACAGTACACTTCAGAATTGATGTTTTGGCTCTTGTGCAGAAACTTAAGAAATACAACTTTAAAATGCCACTGCACTGAGATCATAATCTTTCTCTAAAGAACGTCTGCTTTTGATGTTGTTTGAGGCAAATCACCCCCTTCAGGATCAGAACACGAATGATTGCATACCATGTGGTTGTACATGATCCACTTCTCATCATCAGTTTCCAGTTGCTTCAGAAAAGGTTTCATGTTTAATGAGCATGTCACATATGTTTATCCGTGCCATCAAATTAACTTCCTTGAGTTCATGAGGAACCCATATATCGAGTTTGCTTATGTATCCCAGTTTTTCTCATGATCTTGAACAGTTGAATGATGGATGCTCAATGTTTCTGCAGTCTTTTGTATTGTGTAGTAATGGTTTGACATAATAAATGCCTTTGTTTGGTCGTCATCAACCTCAAATGCCCTTCCTGACCAAAGAATATCGTAGAGAAGGAAAGGGGGGAAATGCTGTCATTCATGATCCTTATTTAAAAAAAAAAAAAAAAAAAAAAAAAAAAAAAAAAAAAAAAAAAGAGTGTTGAATAAGTTCAATAATAAATTCACTTCTTCAATTAAATTATGTTTTAAATATAGTGTATTTTCTGTTAAAAAGTTTATTTTCATGTACGTGTATGCTTATAGAATCTTTCATTTTTATGTATATAAAATTATATATTTTTAGGATGTGTTAGTGTTACCTGCTGTGATAAAACTGGCACCTTGACCAAAAATGAAATGACAGTTACATCTATTGTGACATCTGAATTATATCATGCAGAGGTAAACTTGTGCAAATTTTTAATGATTTATAATTCGTTTTTGGTGTTTTCTTTTTCATTTATATCACTTAAAAGCTTATATTCCAATCCTTTAATACTGTATTTTAAGATTTAAGCCCAAAAGTTTGGCTAGAGTACAGTTTGGTACATAAAATAATAATACTAACAGTCATGTAAATTCTTGACTCAATGCTAAACTCAGAAGACTTTTTTTTTTTTTTTTTTTTTTACTTTTCTGCTTACACTCATTCGGTTCACTAGTGACCGAGCAGTGAAATTGTTTAATGCTAGCAATTCGACCTGGGCTTGATTCCAGGTAAATAGACTAGCTGCATAGGCATTTTCATTGTTTTTCCCATGTGTAATCTGGATATAAGCCTGTTTCCCTTAGAAAGTCCTCTATGAAGCCATTCCTTCTCTTAGATAGCTCGTGTGTGCTTTGCCATAACCAAATAAATAAGCTTACATAAATTTTCTGTAATTTTCACAGTAGCAATATGTTAAGAAAACATGTGTATTCCATGAAATGGGAGTATATTTGTATAGAAATCAATAGCTCAAATTTTCCTGAAACCAAGTATATGTGATATATTTAAATGCATTTTAATTTAAATAAAAATGTTGCAGATTCATGACTTTGCTGTGGAGGTAAAGATATATATTTTACTTTTATTTAATGTAAATATGATATGCAATTATATCTCAACAATTTTTAAAACTTTTGAGCTTGCATTAAAATTATTTATATAAAAAACTCCTTTACTTTCTCGCGTAAAAGTGGGTTTAGAAGTAGGAACATTTCAAGAGTGCAAATCTATGAACCTCTAATGTAAGAGGTAAATTTTCTCCATTAAGCCCCGTTTCCATTAGTGTGTTGCGAATGTGTAGCGTCTTTGGGAGAAATGCATATGCAGATGGAAGACCATTTAAACTATTGCATTGGATTTATGCAAACGGAAGTTCGGTGGTCGATTGCATTTATTGTCACCAGATGTGTCTGTATTTAACTTATGAAATTTGGACTCTTAAGATATTTAAATCCCATGTGTAAGCACGATTGTAAATTATTTAATTGTTATTAGACAAAATATCTATTGAGAAAATGGCAGCAGCTAATTTCTGGATGTCGTTCTATTTATAATTTTAAAAATATTCATTGAGATGATGTATGCTTGAAATTTTTAATGGTACGATGCAGTAAGTACGTTTGTTATGTTATGTACGTTTATGAATACGTTACGTGTAGGTTATTAAGATTTATCTTTAAATAAATGTTTGTCTTTTACAACCATTTTACGAGTGATTAATTTAACTACAAAAGGAAGTTAACATAAATCAGAAGCGGGATTATTCTGAAACCTAAGCCTAAAGCTACAAGAATTTGCTATACGTAAATAAATTGAAAAAAAGAATTTGAATTTCAAGGTATGTGCATTGAATTGATGTAACATATTTATTATAGAATTTAATTTTGTTATTTTTTTATCATTTTGGAAAGAGAGTTTATTTTTTTTTCATTTCTTTAAATTTTGAAATATATTTAGAACGTCAAACAAACTTATAAAATACCAATAACTGTGTTCTACTAAGTTGTCTAATTGGAAGTTAATAATAATAGCATATATATATATAATTTGCATTTTAATGAGTACGAAAATGTCTATTTTCGGTAAGGCAAAGAAATGCGATTTAAGAATATTAGCTGAAGAATTGGGAGAAGATGTAAATGAGAGTCATAAAATGAGCGATTTGAAAAAGATAATTTTGGCTAGCAAAGAGTACGATGAAGAATGCGCCAAAGAATGGTTAAACATTATAATAAATGAAAGAAAAGAAAAAGAAGAAATTGAAGAACGAAAACGTCAAGATGAAGAACGTAGGCGAAAAGAAGAAATTGAAGAACGTAGGCGAAAAGAAGAAAGAAACGAAAGTATGAAGAAAGAAAACGAAAGTATGAAATGAAATTTGAACTGCAAAAACTATGTATTTCAGTAGAATGTAGATCTACAAATTCTTGCACCAATGAAAATGCCAGTTTTACGCACATGAATCCAAAGTTAGAGCTTCATCGTTTGATGCAAAAATTTAAACCTGACGAGAATGATATCAGTTTATATTTAATCATGTTTAAACGTTTGGCTAAACAAGTTGAAATACCAGAAAATACATGGGTTACTCATTTGTTTGGCTTATTGCCGTATGATGATATTGCTCAGTTAATCGCCAGAGAAACCGATGAGATTGCAAACGATTATAAAGAAGTTAAAAGTTAAAAGGATCTTATTAAAACGGTACAAGATGACACCTGAAAAATTTCGCCAAAAAATTTTTTACGCACAATAAGAGTGTAGGAAACACATGGAAGAATTTTGCGTATGAGTTAAGAAATTTTTTTAATGAATGGATAAGCGGAATTAAAGTAGATACTTTTGAGAAACTTAGCGACCTTATTGTAGCGGATCAGATAAAAAAACGTAAAGTGTCTCCAGAAGTAAAAGATCATTTTATTGACATATGGTCTGAGTTGATTTCACCAATTGATTTAGTTGAAAAACTAGATGATTATGATACCTTGAAGTCAACTTTCAACAATAAACAACCACGTAAAGAAGGGTCTTACGATAAACTAAACTCCTTAAAAGATGGTCCAGTTGCTACAATCAACGAAAAGAAAAAAAACTCTATGGTATCACACATAATGAAAAAGGTGAACGAAAATGCTTCAACTGTAATAATTTTGGACACATCTCAAGGGACTGTCCACTGCCCAAACCAGTAGTAACATGCCAAAAATGTAATAAAACAGGTCATAAAGCTAAAAATTGTGTTACTAAAGCTGAAAATAATCATTCAAATGATAAAAATTATTCTGTTGAGCAAGTTGGCGAAAATTTAGAAGAGAGCAATTCATATTTGAAGAAAGCAAAACTGAATAATTCTGAAGAAGTACAGGCTTTAATTGATACGGGGAGTTCTTGTTGTCTCTTAAGGACTTCAGTTGCTCAGAAACTTAAAGTGAAACCAGAACCTGCTATGAATGAATTGTACGGTTTTGGAAATCAAAGGGTGCCTGCAGTGACCTCTATAGGAATGATTAAAGCCGATATTGAAGTTGATAATGTAAAAGGCCAAGGCATAAATATATACCTTGTACCTGATAATGCACAGCCAGTTGATCTAATCATCGGACGGACATGGCTTGATCTACCTCACATCGCTTATGTCAGAATAGGAAAAAGATTTCACTTCGGGTATAGGGAAGATGAACTATTTAGTAACCTCCAAATTGATGAAAAAATAAATCGAGTCTGCCTTAAAGCTCTTGAGGAAAATGAATTAGAGAAAAATACGATCAGTCTTGTCAGTTCTCAAACAGATTCTGTAGATAATGGATTAATTATGATAGAAAATCCTTCCGAAGGTATAGGCTGTTTATTAGAAATTAAAAATGGCGAAACTTGTATACCAGTGATTAACGTTGGCGATAGAAGTGTTAAGCTCCAAAAAGATCAATGCGTTGGGAGAGCAGAAGAAGTTGAACTATGTTTAAATACTGAAATTTCTGAATTGAGCTCGAACTTAGCAAAAACGGAAAATATTAACAACATAAAAGTTCCTATAAGTTTAAGCCAAGTTAAAATTGGCTCGGATCTCGACGTTGATCACCAGCAAGAGTTATTGCGTCTTTTCGAATGAATACAGAGATTGCTTTGCACTAAATATTTCAGAACTCAGGGTGCACTGATCTCATAAAAATGGACACTAAAGAAGATATATTCGTTCACCAAACTGCAATAAAGAAAAACAATACAAAAAGTGCCGTTCGAAGTGTAGGATATGGTGAATTAGGTGCATTTGAAGTTGTTCAAGAGAAGAGGAATGAAGCTGCAAATCTGATTGGACTGAATCGCACTTCGGTGAAAAATAGTCCTTATGCTGCAAATAGAAATCGACACTGTGGCCAACTGTTCTCTAAACACCACTTCATGCCAAGGCAAAGACAGAATGACGAAAGTGATGGTAGTCAGAGCCAAGAGAATGTAGATGATAAGCAGCAACTACAACCTCAAAGGCCCGTACGAAGGCAATTACGTCATCCTTACTTCAGGCAATATTGTAGTTATCTATCCATAGGACTTCCACGAAACGTTGGACGTGATGGAAGTGAAGATGAACAAAATGAAAGAAAAAACGAAGAAAGAGTTTCAGGAGGTGGAAGAGACAATCACTGGAATCCTAGACGATTTTATCAAAGGTGCTTTAATAGCAAAACCCACTATCATAGGAATGACACTGAATGCAGTCAAAGTAGAATGGAAGGAGAAGCAACTAGTAAAGATACTGAAGCAAATGACGAAGAACAGCAGCCACGCGGTCAAGGATCTAGATCTTGTCCACTTTACAGATCAAAAATGGGTTGTCGAAAGCCCCCACCAAGCTGATTCACGTGCTAAAAACAGATCTTCGGAGGCCATCATTTCCAGAAATACAGAAGATGATGATAATGACGAGGTTGACGACGAACTTAAAAGGCCCAAGCGAACAGTGCGCAAACCATTGCGCTATAGAGACTTTGTGTAGGACTTATAGAATTTTTTTTAAAATTATATTTCATTTTATTTTTTCCTACCTATTATTATATTTTTGTTGTTGTTTATTTGTCGTTTTAATGTATGACAAGATTTGGTTCAATTGAGGACAATTGAAAAGTCAGGATGGTCGAATGTAAGCACGATTGTAAATTATTTAATTGTTATTAGACAAAATATCTATTGAGAAAATGGCAACAGCTAATTTCTGGATGTCGTTCTATTTATAATTTTAAAAAATACATTCAGATGATGTACGCTTGAAATGTTTAATGGTACGATGCAGTAAGTACGTTTGTTATGTTATGTACGTTTACGAATACGTTACGTGTAGGTTATTAAGATTTATCTTTAAATAAATGTTTGTCTTTGTACAACCATTTTACGAGTGATTAATTTAACTACAAAAGGAGTTAACGTTGTTATTTTACCCTGTAGTGATCTCGTATTATTCTCCTTCATTATTTTAGTTCACTTCTGTTTTTTTTAAACCGCCAGGTCGGCGTAGTTTGTGAGCGTCAAGTGACGCAGTATTTTAAAGTGATTAAAAAGGGTTTAAACCC